CTCCCATTTTAATATCATCCCCTGCGGATGCCCGGGCGCCGGGTACGGGGCCCTTAAAAAAATATGCAAATTTTTGGCAGGAGGGCGATCTCGGGAACCACATGAGCTAAGGGCTGAAACTTTGTAGAGATATTCCCTGTGCATGTATTGGCTAGAGGTTTCAAATACAGCCCCCAGGTATGCGCGGTACCCACGTAAGGGCGTGTCAAAGTTTTTGGGGGAAAACTGCTAACTCGACAACTAGGAAAGCTGGAAGGCTGAAATTTTACGGGAATATTCCCTGTCCAAGTACAACTTAAATATTTTCAGATCCAGCCTTCAGGCGTGCATGTTGCTTAAGTAAGGGCGTATGAAAGTTTTAGGGGGAAAATTACTAATTGGATCCAGCCTTCAGGTGTGCATGTTACTTAAGTAAGGGCGTATGAAAGTTTTAGGGGGAAAATTAAATCTAGTCCTCAGGTGTGCATGGTACTCACGTAAGGGCGTGTGAAAGTTTTAGGGGGAAAATTACTAATTTGGGTACCAGAAAAGCTGGAAGGCTGAAAACTTCCAGGAAATATTCTCAGCCCATATACGACTTAAATTTATCAAATTCAGCCCCCCAGTCATCTTTGGTTCTTACGTATGGCCCCGTGAAATTTTTTGGCAGGAAAATGGCTAACTCGGAAACCAGAAAAGCTGGGAGGTTGAAATTTTCAGGGGATATTCCAGGCACAAGTACGACATAAACCTATCAAATTCAATCCCCAGTCGTGCGTGGTTCTCATGTACGACCCCGTGAAACTTTTTTGGCAGGTAAATGACTAACTCGGGAACCAGAAAAGCTGAAATTTCAAAGGGATGTTCTCAGCCTGCATACAACTTAAAAATTCCAAACCTAGCCCCCAAGTATGCTCCTAGGTCACGTGCGGCCCTGTGAAAGTTTTAGCGGGGAAATTGCTAACTCGAGAACCAGAAAAGTTGGGAGACTCAGATTTTTGGAGAATATTCCCCGTCCAAATAAAACTTAAATCTTCAAATTCAGTCTTCATTTACGCGAGATTTTCGTGCACGGGCAATTAAATTTCTGGCGGGAAAATTACTCATTGAACAGTCGGGTTACTTTCAAAAAACACCGCTACACGGAAATAGTTTATTTCTTTTCATGCAAAATTTACGATGATTTCCGGCATTAAGCACACAAGGTAGGTGTGAAGAAACAACCGTTCATGCAGTTAACCCAATTCAAGTTTTTGAGAACGCATGATCGCACCGGCTCGCCTGGTGCGTTCCAGCCTGGGTTGCATTTGCATATAAGCAAAAACGCATAAAAACACATAAAAATAATCCCGGCACTAACAAAATCATAAATCGAAAATACTTGGTTCCCTGACACCTCACCTGACACATTGATGGCAGTGGTACCATATTTAATTTTCCATTCTTGTAATCAGCCACAAATTCAGCAACAATCTCTGCACTAACATCTGGCTTCTCACAAATGCACATTCTAGAAACAGTTGCATCCAATATTACGATAACGGGCAGATCAGTATTCCCCAGTCCTAATCCTTCGAGTACCAAATCACACAGCGGATCCTCGCCTGTATAGAAGATCTGAAGCGGATCGGCCCATGACGGTGTCGAAGTATCGGAAGATATAGAGCTGAATTAACAAAAACGATATTCTCCAAGAAAAATTCGAATATTGTTGTTTATATGGACGAGGAACTGTAACAAAAAAAAAAAACAAGGTCGAAGGCATGGCCAAAAACAAAAAATTCAAGAAAAATAATAAAAAAGTTAATTGAAAATGTCAGTCAGCCCTAAAGCCCTAATTACGGAAAATATGCCCAAACGCCACAAATTTTGCATTTAGAAGCCAAGAAGGCGGCTTAAGTGAACACCAAACAAAAAAAAAATAAAAATAATGCGAAATTTTGACCGAAAAAAGAAGCCCATTTTGTCCGAAGCTAACAGAAAATTTTTTTAACCCAGACGCAGTTCAGTGATTAGATTTTTTATGCGTTTTTTGCAGCAATGCAATGCGAAAAACGCATATTGACGAGAGGTTGTCTGTGTGTCCGTGGTCTGTGTGTCTGTGTGCCTGTGCGTCTGTGTGTCTGTGTGTGCGTCTGTCACGCACTTTCATCTCAGGACCTATAAAGCGTCTGTCACGCACTTTCGTCTCAGGACCTGTAAAAGCTGCGGGGCTGAAATTTCGGGAACTTAATCTGCATGCACGTACCGCCC